AGTTGCAGAGGGGCTCACCGCTGAAAGCCTTAGTAATGCTATTCAAGATGAAATGAAACAGATCGGTGTTAACATCCACAATCTTGTTGGTCAGGGATATGACGGAGCCGCTGTTATGAGTGGAAAATGTGCCGGTGTTCAAGAGAAAATTAGAACAATCGTTCCGCAGGCTCTCTATGTGCACTGTTTTGCTCATCGCCTAAACCTCGTGATCGTTCAGGCAGTAAAAAGTGTTGTCCCAGTGGCTGATTTCTTTGCTGCGTTGCAATTGTGTTACAACTTTTTGAGCGGTTCCAATGTCCATTCAAGATGGATTGCATTTCAGAAAGACATGTATCCTAACGAACAGCCGGTTGAATTTAAAACAATGTCAGATACTAGGTGGCATACCTAATTTTAGTGTGCAGTGATAACCAATTTGTGCAGTGATAAAAGTAAAATGTGCAGTGATAAAATGTAAAATGTGCAGTGATAAAATTTGCTTTGATAAGTTGTTAATTAACACAAGAGAATGATTTAATTGAAATTGAAATGATGACTGCCAAATTATCGAATTAAATAATAGTATATGTTTTTTGTACGAAAATCATGAGATTCAGGCAATTTTTAGTTAATATATGCCTTTTGGTATGTCCGGAAAAATTTTGGCGACGGGGGGGGGGGAAGGTCGCCAAAAATTTCCGAATATTCGGAAATTTTCTTAAGTCATTCGGAAATTTTTGGCATAAAATGTGCAGTGATAAAAAATTCTTAAAATTAGGTATGCTAGGTGGGCTTGTCAAGTGCGCGCCGTCAGTGCTATAAAATCTCGATTTGAGTGCCTAATTAAATTTCTTCGTCATGTTGATAACACTGATGATAATCGTGAGCGAGCACTAGTCGCTCGCAATGTTTTAGATCAAATTGATCAGAAATTTATTTATTGCATGCTCCTTATGCATGATTTGTTACTTGAAGCAAAAGGGGCATCTGACACGCTCCAAAGTCCCGAGCTTAATTTTCTTGAAGCCGCAAATCTTATTGAATCTCTTATTGAGGAGCTGGAAACATATCGCTCAGAGCAGAAATCAGTTGATTACTTTGAAAATTCTTTAGATATGGCAAAAGAAAATAACCTAAGTTGTTGCACGAACCAATCAGTACGACAGAGCACGGTCCCAAGTAACTTGGATAATTTTGTAATTTTAACCTCGATCGGCAAACGTGATACTATTTCAGGATCGTCTGATATGAAAAAAGTAGTATTATATCCTGTAATTGATGTTTTTCTAAGTGAGCTCAGAAGGCGTTTCAGTGAACAAAATCTTGAAATTTTTCGATCACTTTCAGGTCTAGATCCAACATCAAACAAATTTCTAGATTTTGATAGAATTTCACCGCTTGCAAGGCATTACAATTTAAACTTAGCAGACATCCAAATGGAAACAAAACAAGCTAAAAGAATGCTTGAGAAAAAAGGGAAAGTCTTTGAAACAATCGATGAATTTGCGGAATTTTTAAATCCTTTAAACTTAGCATTTTCGGAACTCTGTAAAGCTGTCAAAATTGCTATGACCCTTCCGGTTAGTACTGCGGGATGTGAAAGAACATTTAGCAAATTAAAAATAATCAAAAACCACTTAAGAACCAGAATGTCCAACTCTAGGTTAAAATTCTTAACAGTAATCAGCATTCACAGAAAAAGAGCACTGAGTATTGATTTGGAAAAGGTTGTGGATAGGTTTATTCAAAAGTTTCCGAGGTGCCGAATTACACTTGTTTAAATTGCAATAAAATTTGTTATATAGCCGTAAAAGTGTATTTAAAAATGTTAAGTTTACATTATGCTTGTTCACGTTGTTGATTAATAACTGTAACGAAGTTGATATTTGTTAAAATAAAAAAAAATTATACATAAAAGGAACGATTATTTTGCGTCATCATACATATTTAATAACGGCATGGGCAAATAACAGTACCTTTTTAAAAATTTTATCTTGCCCCCCCAAAATATGACTTTGCCCCTCAAATGCCCCCCCAAATTCTGAGGCCTGGCGCCGCCACTGTCAATTTGCACTCCTGAACACTGTAGTGCTTACAAAATGTTACTTTGTGTTTACTGTTGTTACTCGTAAGTCGATTTGTTATAGATTACATTACAGCCTGAGTTAGTAGATGCTCCAAATCACTGATAGTAAAACTAAAAATATATAGTGTAGCGAAATAGCGAAATAATTCGCTACATTTTTTAAGCAGTAGCTGTAGTCAGTAGCGAACTACCTTTGTTCAAAAGTATCAGTAGTTGTAGCTGACTACATATTTTTGAAGTAGCTGTAGTTATAGCGACTACAAAAATTTTGTAGTCAACCCACCCTTGTAAATTAGTAGGCGAACAAGTCCCACAATTCTTATGTTGACTCCCACACCCAACCATTACAGTTCACTTTGTGAAAATGTAGAGCAGAAAGGATTTTAACGGTCTGTGCCAGTGTAGGTAGTGATGATAACGCTAGAATGCTGCAGATTGAAAGTAATTCAACTACCTGAAAAACACAAGTGAAACATCGACATTTCGACGAAGGGTCTTCGCTCAAAACTTCCAAATTTTACTTGTATCTTTCTGGTAGTTGAATGCCTCTCAATCCGCAGCTTTCTGGTGTACAATAAGTCAAACTTGCTTTAAGAAGAAAAATGCTTTTAAATTCCAATAACCGTGCAAACCTTGCTCAGTTTATGCTGAAAGTTCAATCTTCTAAATGAAAGCGTTCAACAGACAAGTTGAATTTGCAGTTTAATGAGTTAAAATCACTGATAAATTCGTGAACTGATTATGTTGAAACCACAGTTTAATCCTAATTATCCCTGTTCAATATTTTATCTTAGATGATGTTGGCTTCTCCATAGAGTTATCCTGCAAAAGGGAAACATTTCGATCTAAATGTCCCACTTTTTAACCGCGATATGTATAAGTAAATTTCAACCTCTACACTACAGCTATTCTGCAAGTTAGGTACTCAAGTTATTAAGTCAAGTAGGATACTATTTGCTGGTCAACAACTAGTAATTCTGTGTAGTTAGTATCTTTTCTATTGCATATTTTCTGCAAACCTTTAATAGACAACACGCTCAATCACACATGAGAAATTATCGAATAACATAACAAGTAAAATTGAACGAATTACAGATCTGAGACTATTGGTAGAACATTTCCCTTAATATTAAAATAATGTATATATTATTGCGAAACTTTGTATCATATGCCTAATTAGAAGCCAATAATTATGCCTGGCTATAGTTTATGACGTACAACTGATGAACTAATAGGGTAGGAAAGCAGGTTATGACGTAAATAATGACATATTTCCAACGTCTTACACTCGTGGTAATGGAAGTGTTCCTAAAATTCTACCAATTCATTTGCTCGCACGAACAAATTCATTTGACCAATCATACAGAGATATAGGAAGTGACCAAAAATTATCAAATACACGACGTTGCGTAATGTCGAACGTCTCAAGTGAATTGGTTCGTCCATGTGAGCAAATTAATTGGTAGAATATTACTATACTAGAATGTTTTAGGAACATTTCCATTGCCATGAATGTATATTAAAAAGTAAACAAACAAAACTTAGGTCTAAATTATTCAACTTAACAGTTATTGTTTCCAAATAGTCATGCATGACAGGTGGGATATTTAGGTCGAAAAGTAATTTTTTATCCCATTCCCCTTCAGTGGCGGAAATCTCGGTGGGGCTGGGGGGCGCCCCCCCCCCCCCCCCCCC